TTTTTTTTTTTGCGTGACGGAGACCTGAAGGATAATTTACATTGCTCTGGTGATAGCGGATGGACAAAGTAAGGAATTGCTTCTCCACTCTTTTTTTTGTTCCCCCAGATTTCTGTTTGTTCTGTGGAGCGTGCTCTCTTCACGTTGGCGCGATCGTCCACGTTCATTCACTCATCCCTCGTGTCTGACATTCACCTTCGGGAGGGGCCTGCGTAGACATGAACGCGTCTCCGTGAGTATGTGCCTGTGTCTGTGCGTGATTGTGACGACGCCATATGTTTTAGATGCTGGAGGTTTTCTTTTTTCTTTTGTTTTCCCCCTCCTCCTCCATTTGTGTATGCGGAGGGTACGCCCAGTTCCATATACGTCTCTCTTTCTCTCCCCCCTCTCTCTCTCTCTCTGTCGGTCTGTCTCGCATTTAACGGTGACATTCTTTTTACCTCTGCAGTCGTCCGTCTTTGAGTGAGTGAGCGAAGCAAGTTGGCTGTCCGGCTGGCTGTGAAAAGGCGGGGCCAAAGAAAGGAGGGAGAAGCGAAAGCAAAAAAACAACAACAACAACCAAAGGCCAGGGAGGGGAAACCCATAACACTGCGAGGAAGGATAAGAGCATGAGCATAGAGGTGCACGTACGCATCCGGCCACACGTGCCAAACGGCGTGTGGTCGAGCGCGGAGACAGTGTTGTACAGCACGCACAACCCCAACACACGCTACGTGTACAACAAGGTGCACCACATCGGCACTACCAACCACGCCATCTTCCAGGGCATCGAGGCTCTCGTGCACGCTGGCTTTGACGGCAAGAACGTGACGGTCATGGCGTACGGACAGACAGGGAGCGGCAAGACGCACAGCATGAACGGCACCGACACCGACCCCGGCGTCGTGCCACGTACCGCCAAGTTGCTGCTGGACCTCCGCAAAAACTTCCCCGGTACGCATATCGTTGCGTACTTTACGGAGATCTACAACGAGTCAGTGAAGGATCTCCTCGAACCGCAGCGGGGGGAACTCGCGCTGCACGACGCTCCTGACGGCGGCATATACTTCGATAAGAAGTCGGTGCCCATCGAGACACTTGAAGACTTTGTGAAGCTGCAAAGCGTGGCGGAACGGAACCGTAAGTATGGCGTGACAAACCTCAACGACCACAGCAGCCGCTCGCACATGATTCTCACATTTGAGATCAACAGAGGTAATCGACAGGTGAGCACAATCAACCTGGTCGATCTTGCCGGCTCCGAGTCCGCGTCACGCGCGAACACGGATGGCGTTTTGCTGCGTGAGGGTGGCTTCATCAACAAGAGTCTCTTGACGCTTGGTAATGTGGTGGATGCGATTGTGGAGAAACGGCCGTACGTGCCGTACCGTGACGCAAAGCTCACCCGCATATTGCGCAACTGCCTTGGCGGATCTGGTATGACGTTTATTCTTTGCTGCGTCAACCCATCCCACGAGAACTTTGAGCAGACAGTCGCTAGTCTGCGGTTCACGCAGCGTGCGATGAAGATTAAGAACGATCCTGTCATGGTGCTCAACATGCCGCCGCTCTTCACCCATCAATACGGGATGGGCGCCGAGGAACTCGTGTGTGGCTTCCGCGATTTGTGCGATGCGCACTATCAACGTGGCTTGCGTGACGCTTTCATGTATACTGGCAATACTATGTCCTCTGTTGTGAGCCACTTTGATGGGCAGATATCGGACTCGCTTCATGCCATGGCAAATGCCCAGCGCCTCCTCATTGCGCACGACCACGCTATGGCCGTCGATCAAGTTGGCCGCCTGTACAACCAGCTTCATGAGCTCTCGCGCCAGCGGCTTCAGAGCAAAGATATTGAAGAGCACGAACGCAAGCGACAGCGCGACACCGCAGGGGAGATAGACGCGCGAAAGGAAAAGATCGCCCGCTTGGAGGCGGAGGTGAAGGAGAAGAACGCCGACGCTGACACGGAGCTGGCCGGCTGGGAGTACCAGCTCTACGAGGCCCGACAGCGGCGCTTGACGCCGCTGGAACTGCTGCTCACCACGGAGAAGGCTCGGCGGTGCCGTGTGCAGTACGAGTGGGCCGTCTGCATGGAGCGCATTTCGGCGCGGTGTGTGCCGGCGATCAAGGCGCTGGGCCCCGCCACGCCGCCGGTCGCTGACAAACACGCCGTGGTGCAACAGATGCGGCAGCGCCTGCAGCAGGCACGGCAGGAGTTGGCTGACCTCACCGTGGCGCACGACATGATCAAGGATGACCTCCCGGAGCTGCAGCGGGAGGTGGAGGAGAGCTCGGCCGTGTGTGCAACTTCTTCATCCACCGCGTCACTGTCGCCCCAGCCACGGCCCAACGACATGATCATTGATGCAGATGCAACAAATGCGGAGATAGAAGAGCGTATTCATCAATTGGAAGTAGAGGAGAAGGCGCTGATGACGCGGGCTGTGCACGTTGCTCGATGCGAGAGCACGCGGCGTCTTCGAGAGTCGCTGGGGCAGCCGCGCTCCCGCACCCCACCTACCTGCCGCTCGGCAGTGTGCCACGTCCGCACCCCACCGCCTTCACAACCGAAGCAGCAAGGGAAAGCAGACGCGTCACCCGCTAATGCCCGCGGTGGCACTGGCTGCTACGCAAGTCCGGTGCAACAGCGCAGCCCGACACCACGCACCGCACGCACCATCTTCCCCACATCTGAGGTGAGCCCCGAAGTAGACACATTCCTCTCCCGCAGTAACAAAGCCGTATCACCATGTGAAGACGAGCAGTTGGCAGACGGCGTGCGCAGGGCTCTAGGGGTTTTACGCGATGTGCGGAGTAAACTGATGCGCCCAGTGCAGGGACGACGGCGAAGGGTTGACGCTGCTGCCTCCATCCCTGATTCTGGGAGAGCCTCACCTGCACCAGAAACTGCACGCTCGGGCTCGCGCCACTGCCGCCGCACGGTGTCGCACACTCCACAGGATGACGACATGACACTGGCAGAGGTGTACATGCGCAAGGACGACGTGAGGGACGAAGAGCCAGTCGTCGGCATTGCGGCCAGACGGCGTATGGAGGGTGCCCCTGTACGGCCAAACGTTGAGCGCGCGCTGTGGCGCTTATCACTGTCACCGGCCGGCACCCCATTGCAAGTGGCAGGGCGTAGCCGTTCTCGCCGCCGCTAAGCGTGCAGCTCGCAGTTGGTGTTCCTCTTTTTGGTCACTGACAACAACAATAACTGCTGCTGCTGATGTTTTTGTCGGTTTTTCTGTTTGCTGGCTCATATATATATATATATATATATATATATGTGTGTGTGTGTGTATAGCTGTGCCGTTTGGTGTTGTGAAGCATAAGCGGCTGCGGATTGTAGGGACTCTCGCTGCGCTGTGCTGAGCTGTCCTCAATGAAGATCCTGCCCATGTTTCGCCGTGTGGGGTCTGGCTTCGTACGTTCCCGTTAGATGCAAGGCGGCTCATCTTGGTCTTCCACGTCGCCGTCTCTGTTTATTCGTCGATATATTTCCTTCTGTTTCTTTTTTTCCTTCCGTTGGCTCTGCTGTTCCCATCGCTTCGGCTAGAATTAGATGCAATCCCCCCGTTATTAATTTCGTTTTTACGCATTTTTGTGCGCTGCAAGAACAGCGTTTATAATGATGCTGAGGCAGCGTGGTTTGTTGTGGCGCCGCGCAGAGTTTTGTCGATATGAGCCACACTTTTGCTCGGTGGTATTGTTTGCAATGCTTCTTGTTATCTTTTTTTTTTCTTATCTCTCCATGTCCCGTCCCTTCTTCCCCTTGTTCCACACACACACAGCTAAGAGATTAGGTCATTTTTTAATACGAAGAGCAGGCTGATTCGTCTTTGTTCCCGGGCAAAACTGGTGCAGAGAAGATTATCTTACGAGTGAAGGGGCACTGCAAACACACACCGATAAAGGTAAAGATACAGACCGTTTGCACAGCACTGGTGAACAACCCATGCTGGAGAGAGGTCGACACACACTGGAAACAACAGTGGAGAAGTTGTTGCTGAGTGTGAATGTCACCCCCGACTGTGAGATTGAGGCACACCTGAGCGGGGCGGAGAGGGATGTGAGTGACAAGTTAACCCTGGGCACCCGCATAGTGGGAATTGATGGGCAAACTGTCACAGATAGTGGCGAGCTGCGAGAGCTGTTGCTTTCGCGGGACAGTGCGTCGCAAGTGACAGTGAGCTATGAAAAGGAGGACGATGCAGTGGAACGAGTCAACATCAGTGGGAGTGTAAGGTTCGATGGCGTGACATCCGCCATCGCTCCCCAGCGTCCACGTGACGCCGTGCTGGATCATCTCATCCAAGAACCGGCACTGGATTCTGCGCCAAAGCAGAAAGGTACGTCGCTACAGTCGCTACAAGAGTCGTCTCCAACTAGGGGTTCGCTCGGCACAACGCCAAGAAGCAGTGGCTGCAACCGCAGCGACCACTTCGCTGCGAGGGCCGATGGAGAAGAAGACTCTGTTTCGGTTGCCTCCTTCAGCGAGTTCACAACGGAGCTCAGAAAAAACGAGCAGCGCAATACGTCAGACCCTGCGAAGACTCCAGCTAGTACAGATACACCGGCGCTCTTGGAGTTCGATAAACTAGACATGCCAGCACGCACGGCGGAAGTGTCTAAGCCAGCCATGTCACTGTTGGGGGAAGTGTCGCCGGAGTGCTCGGTGCGGCAGCGGATTATGCGTGCCATAAGCGCTGTCGGTGTTGGTGCATGTGTCATTTGCGTCTGTCAGGATGTGAATCCAATCGCCGAGATTGAGCTCGTCGCCATGACGTTGCAGGTTTCCGTTATTGCAGTCAACCTCGGGGTGAAACTGCGCTTCCGACCGAAGCCAGAGGCATTTGCCGAGCAGTTCAAGGCTGCCATGAAGGAGGGGGCGTGGTTTGTTATTGTGAACGCTCACAAGTCGATTGGAACCTGTCGTGTACTTGAGGAGCTCGTGAAGGACGCGGAGAGCCGCAACTTTGAGGGATTTAGCCCGGCCGCGAGGATCATTATTTGCCTGGAGCCGCACCCGCACTTTCCGCGCTATCTCATTAAGCGAGCTGAAGTGACAGGGATACAGAGCTCACTCTCGGGCTCGTCTTCACAGCTATCGATGTCTGTCTCGCGCAATCGGCTTGTGACAGCCGAGTCGATGTGCTCGCGGCGCACCTCCGCTGTCGGCGTCCTGCACGTGCCTGCATCAGGCGTGGGTGCCAGTAGTGATAGCGGTAGTGGCACTAAACCTAAGCGGCGCGTGCGCATTAGCGCTGCTGTGGATGTGGTGGACATTGCCCCACGTGAGGTGGTGGCGCCGCCGCGCGAACGTTCCTTCCTCATCAGTGGAAGCGTTGCCCTCCGCGCCGCCTTCACGGGCGTGCCGAACGACAAGTTTCTTTGTGTGTCCACCGCTGGCGAAGCCGGGCGTTTTGCAGTGGGCTCGTCGATGGGCAACGTGTACTTTGTCGACGAGCTCGGTAACTCCCTCATGCAGGCGCACGCCCACGAGGCCTCTATCTGGGACCTCAGCTTTAACGACAAGTACCACTTCGCGACCGGCTGTGAGGACGGCACCTCCATCGAGTGGGCCTTCGAGCTTGGCGGCCCCGATGGCGCGTTGCTCGCCCCATCCTCGTTGGCAACGCTGGGCAACGACGTGTACTGTCTGACGTACCTGCGCGGGAAGCCAGAAGCCCCGCTGCTCATTGGTGGCCTCAGTTGCAAACTGATGGTGCACAGCGCGAACGGGGTAGATCAGTGTGTCTCCATCTCTTCCAACGCGCAGGTGATGGACTGCTTCTCCGAGAGCCCCATTGTGCTGGTGGGTGGCAGCGACGGCTCTGTGGCGGCGGTCGATGCCATGACTGCCACAGTGGTGACGAGCTTCAAGGAGCACTTGCGCAAGTTGCCGGCGCTGACAATCCACGACGAGAGTAACTTTTTCACTGGCTCGTTCGACAGCACGATTCTCTCCTGGGACTACCGCGCTCCGCCGTGCCCGACGGGGGAGATCGCAACAAACGAGCTGCCACAAGCAAATTCGACACACACATTGAAGCTGAAGAATTATGTGACAGGTCTGCACGTAGACGACGTGCACCTGGCAGCGAGTGTCGGGGAGAATTTGTATCTCTGGGACGTGCGCAAGCTGAGCGAGGTGCTTGGAGGCTATCCACAGGCCTGGCGCGGTCTCTCGCGCGGCATACGTGTTCATAGCGCCGGCCAGTGCGTTGTGACTGCTTCACAGGATGGCTACGTGCGTTTCTGGAGCTTTGTGTAGTGAAGTGACGGCGGGGATGTTGATTGTGATAGTGCTGAGAGGCGGAAGAGGTTTGGCCTGTGTGTCGACAAGCGAAT